GATGTGCGGAAGTTCTCCTTCTCGGTTCGGGTTGTCAAACCGTGGAATGAGCTTCCCGCAGATGTTGTGATGTCACCATCTATACAAAGTTTTAAGAAGAATCTGGACATATTTATGTTCCGAAATGACCAAGAGCGATGAGAAGTCGAGCTCACCCCCTGTAACTCCTTCTCATTTTGCCCCACCATTATGGGCGTGTTAGAACTATTTCAGCCCAGAACATCTATCTGTACACCACACATTTTTACGTTGCCAATAGGGTACTCAAAGGCTTACGCCTATTTCCCTCAATAAACTGAACTGAACTGAACTGAACTTCGGTATCCGCATTTGCCCTGTAGTGGGCCACTTACAGCCGTAGCCTATCTTGCCTGGGACGTGGAGGTTCTCTGTGACTCGTTTCGGGGTTTTACGTTAGGCGACCGTTCGTCATGGTTGGCGTTTACGGCCAAAATAATCGAGGCCGCGATGAATGGAAAAAAACGAGTAAAAGCTCGCATGCAAAATTTTTTTCAAGGTGTGGCCAAGTGTGGCCAATGTGTTGATGACCACACCATAGCCACACCATTTGGCCACAACTGGCTGCACAATAGCCGCACTTGGCCACACCATATTTGTCTCGGTCAAGTGCGGCTGGTGCTGGCAGGGTAAGTATTTTAAATTCATGCCTCCTAGTCGTTGGAGGCAGAAAAACTTTAAGTTGTGCATATAAACGTGTTTTTTTTCTAGAATACCTGGCACGAATCTGATTGCGTATTGAGAAATAGCATTTCATATACGAACATTCCATAGTATTAATTCCATGTAAATAGCTAGGGAGCGATTCAGTGATGCATCTTGACACAGTCACCGAAGATGAACGCATTCAGCGGGCTAAGATGATCCCGCTATGTGAATCATAAATACCGCACGGATGGCACCGTCAATAGGACGTTTGCCTGTCATTATCGAAATATCCTAAGAATTCTTTCGCATCCGAAATGATTTTAAGACCTCTACCAAAATGGCTTTCTTCACAGCATGTATTTTACTAATTCCTCTTCGCATACTGCTCTGGCGTGAGAGCCTTCAGCCTCGTACGTACAAAGTAGTTTTTGTAAAACGTTTATCTCAGCAACAAAAACTGATTCAGTCGAATGGAAATATTTCGCTCTGAAAAAAACTGTAGCCACTCATACTTCACAATTCCCGGAAAATGTCAACAGGCAGCTTTAGTAAGAAATACAGAAGGTATTAAAAAGAATGTTTGACTTTAATACTGGCTTGGGGATTTGGTTCAGCTCAGTTGCGCATCTTAAAAAAACACATCTAATAGGAGTACTTAAGTGTGACAAACAAGTTTCACGCATAATAGTATTCAGTCAAGGAGTGGATTATTAAAAAATATACTTTTATGTGTCCAGATTTACTATGCGTGACAAGCTGCTTTCTCACGTAACTCTACTGTCCACCCTACCTCGAAACCGCCCAGCTTTTTGACTCGTACTGAACTCTAGGCAGTTTATTTAGACTCAGTAAAAGTTTGCACTCTTTCAGAAGGGGAATACACTAGTCGTGGCCTGGGAGTCGTGCACATGGAATTCGGGATAAATAACATGCCTTAACAGGGCCTGTAAGGATGACTGGGAGGAGGTCAAACGCTTTATGTACTTCATCAAAAGACCGCTCCCTTTGAAATGACTGAACGAAAAGTCCTTAATGTTGGTTATCCTTTTTTTGTAATATGCCCATAGAAATACTTTCCTCCTGATTATGACCCTTCAAAAATACCAAGACTCAAGAGGGGCAATAAAGGACGGCAGTTTAATATTCGTACAATGGCACCATTTAATATGCGCTGTACCACCTGCAACGGCTACGTTTATAAAGCTAAGAAGTTCAACTCACGGATGGAAGTTGCCGAAGGAGTTGATTACTTAGGGTTAAGACACTACCGTTTCTACATACGATGTCCTACATGCTGTGCAGAAATCATCTGGAGGGTATTTTGTCTTTTTTATGAATAATAGTCGTAGACTGACTTGGAATCAAATGATTACGTTATAGAGAGCGGAGCTAAACGAAACTTCGAAGCCTTGAAAACGGCCGAAGAATTGGAAGCTAAACGGGCTGCTCTTGAAGAAGAGGAGCTTGCTAACAATCCCATGAAACTGTTAGAAAAACGAACAAACCAAAGCAAAAACGAAATGGAAACTGCAGAAGCTCTGGACGACTTAAGAGAACTAAACAAGCGACAAGCTACAGTAGAGACTGACGCCATGCTCCTGAGGAATCTCTGGAGAGAAATAGAGGCCGAAAAGGAGGCAGAAGAAAAGGCCGACGAAGAGCTTATTAAGTTAGTCCCTGTCTTTCCTGTGACTTTCTATTTTAAGGGAACTCCTGGCTTCGAAGAACGTTCCACCCACTCATCCCGACAATGTAACGTCGGCAGCAGACTCTTCGTCCATTTCGAATCAACAGGATCCACCCACAACGTCGTCAAGCACACATAACCGGAAGGTTGTCAATGCTCCTGTAAGTGCTACGCTCTTAAACTTTTGAATAACCCCTTTTTCACCAACAACGGTTACCTTCCGAACTCTGATAAGTCGATTTTAGTTCTCGCTCTGCCTTGGTTTAGCCACATCGTCATCATCAAGACCAGATTTAGGCTAAGTGACACTGTGGACGATTCAGGATTCAGACTGACGCAAATAATGGTCCAGTCATCCAGCGAGGACTTTAGTGAGATAACTGTCGACAACCTGTGTTTTCTACTGACTATATTATCTCTCGAGCTACACTCGGAAAATAAAAATGTAAGCACCATCTGTCGGCTTCTTTCAGACGATGGATGTGTTCTAATCGCGCACCCGTAAATTAGAACTGTTTCTACACGGGTCTCCATTAATCGTGATCTGTTGTCACTAGTCCCACGGAAATTCCAGCAATTTCTACTTAATCAGGCGAAGGCGGCCTTCGTCTGGTTTGTCCGACTACCAATATCATACTCGCTTTATTCGCATGTCTGAGGTCTTGACCGAAGACTGCAGATGTTGTCCGCTGAAACAGGAATTGGCCATCTATCGGGACTACAGATATCGTCGACTGTGAAAATCATGGCGAAAAATTCTAATTTCAAGGCCTGGTCTTCACATGCATCTAGTCAGAGCCCACTGTAAAGGGACCTAACACTGCAATGCCCTTAGTGTAGTTAGTATCCGTAATACGAGAGCCACGATCAGGACGATCTATCAGCGCTCGCTAAAAACTTAAGTCTATCACTTGTTTAAACATAGTCGTCGGACGCCGAAGTTGGCATAAGGAGACTCAAACTCTTCGCCATTCGCACATATTTTGGTTACTCAACGAAACGAAATTGCTAAACCTCCGCCCAGCTGCCTCCTACTGTATGGTAGCCAATGGCTCTTCGTAGGTGCATCGCGAATCCCATCCTTTGATTTCAACCAGAAGCGAGGACACGCCCGTTTCGCTGCACGCATTTTCATGGACCAACATCGAAGTATGCAAATTATGCATGCTCACAACCTTACTTTCGGTCCAAATTAGGGCCGATTTCAAACTTTTCTTCAGACTACTTCCAACAAGTCTCTGAATACGACTATGTTGGCGTATCGCTAATCATCACTAAACTGGCTTTATGTTGTTTTTGATTTCCATTGCCTTGTCTTGTAGTGTTTTACGTTAGTCGGAAAAAGGGCGCCATCTTCATCTCCTTAATCCAGGAGATTCGCATTGTAACAGCTTCGCAGTATTTCTATGTTCGATAGTTCGTCACGAGTGACGTTGCCAGGGGGGGGGAGTGCCGGCAGCGACACACGCGTGGAGTACGTTTATCAAGTCTCCGATATAAAGAAAGAGATGAGCATTGTCACAGTGACTAGCCTGATATATCGTCAATTATGGCACACGTGATGGGCACCTCCTGAGTGTTTCATTACGGTCTGATTCTCCGTCCCAAAGAAGACCTGGTTATTTCTCCGGTTAGTAGTCTTCTGAGCCATGGAAATTAGGGCTTCCTTGTAGTTTACATGTCGACCCGAAATGAAATCGGGCGTAGTTGCTGACCTGGCGTTGACCCTGGCCGCGCGCAAGACATGGGTGATTCTGACGCACCAACGTCGCCGTCTTCTGGAGGTCCAGAGAATCGTGGGACAAAAGTGAGAGTTAATTGCACGCGAGAGGCTACTAAGTGGCTTCTTTTTGTGACATGTGCGTCGACCTAGTCTCACAGCTATCTCGGTTAGAGCTAAACCAGCACTCTTTCGGTTTTGAAGGTCAGAAAAGTGATATTATCATCCATCTTATCATGTCCTGGCGGATTGATGAGAAGGGAAAGGCGAGTTTCGTGGATAACTTATTTATTCAACCAGACTTAGTAATGAGTTGTTGAACGCTCTGAAACATGCCTTAATTCAAATCATAATCGTTCTGGTGAACCCCGAATCATGACTGAACGGTTGCACGTTGGGTGTCTTCTACGTTCCAACTCCTCGTGGGGACCACCCGAGTGTTCCGCTGACCAACGATTGCGCTACACGCGCGAGAAAAGGCATTAAGCCTGCTGACTTCCACAGCACAGGCAGATAACACGCGTGCAATCCGCAATCGGCCGGACCTGCTTTTTCCATTCGTATTAGGTCGTGACTCTATCCTGTTTCCGTCCTCCGTAGCAAATGCCAACCCTACACCGCACGTGCTTTCAGAGGTCCGCTGCCCTGGTGGTCCGTCAGCAGAACCCACGCCGCATTTTCTTCTACACCTCAAGCTATGTCATACCGCTTGTAGCCCGTTTCTCTGCTTCCGCTTATCCTTTTCACGCTGCGTTTTCGTTAAACACGACCATTTATGTCAGTTGAATGAGTCGACTTCCATCAGTGGCTCCATCTGGCCGGTTTATGCGTCACGGTACCATCCGATGGGATTCGTTTAGTTTCCTCTTCCATCTACCCTTGTTGGTTGCACAACTCCACAAGTCAATTTTAGTTGCTTTGGACTGTCTGTAGGACGCAACACTGTCACTTGCGCTTTGTCTTGGAACTGTGGGTCTACATGTTGACCATTTCCGATCATCGAGAAGTCCTGATTCTGGTGCATCACGAGATCCAAACTGCAAGTCAGTTGATCATCGAACGGGGATCTCGCGGGCCGCATTTCCTGCTCATGCCACATTGGCTAAGATCGTGAATATTCCCTCCTGTTGTGGCGGCGCGACTTCAGTTGCGTACTGAGCAAAACATCTACCCTCTAATGTCTGGCTTTGCCCATAACATCTTTCCCTCTCCTTCATTGCTGCAGCGCCCGTCGACGAATTCGTACGCCAACCAGATAAGGAGTGCCATTGTCAGGAAACGTCCAAGCGCTTCCCAGCCGACCAAAATTCAGGAGAAAAAGGAAAGGTCGACAGAACCCACAAATTCCTCCAAAACAACAGAATCCGCAGATAAGAGGTCACCTGACGCCCAGGCTACCACATCAGCCTCCAATATTTTAGGCCTTGCCTATTCAGACAACAGTGACAGTGATTAGCATCCCTGTTGGCCCCAACATGTACAGTTCCTTTTTCTTCTAATACATCCTCAGTGCAGATGCTTCTGACAGTACTTTCATTTCCATCCTAAACACTTAGGCCCAGTTTGAGGGCTGCGCATTCAATTCTCGCCGAAAGCGTCCTGTACATGAAATCGGCAGTCCGTTTTCGCGCCTCTACGGAACGCATAATAGCTCGAAACTTTCCATTCCTATGCAGTAATCGCATGATGCCTATTCGACTTGTAGTACTAGTAGTATAGTTTTAAGTGACAACGGTTCTACCGTACTCCAAGCGTAGGCGCAAGCTAATATCTCGGACAACAGAAACATCAACGGAACACGTATCTTGACCTTTAACTATTACTCATGTTAGGAGTATGATGGAGCCGCTGTCAGGTGTAGCCAACCGTCTTTTTCAGCACCCTCTCGCGTCAAGGTCATTCTCCTCTTCTCCGTTTTCAGACGTCCCGACCCCGCCTGCCCGCTCACCCTCTCCCAGTGCGTTATTGAGTTTCTATGACTACTACCGTTTGGTTTCAGGCGGGATTTTTGGGCCCGAGCGGTTTGATGCCGCGAGGTTTGCCATTACTGTCGTCTTGAACGTCGTTATGTCTCCATCTTCGCTCTTCACTCCTGCCTATGAGTCTAAGTATGATCGATTCAACCAGCTCCCTATTACGGGCTAATTACATCGCACATAATCACTCTGTATTACGGTCGGTTGAAGGTAGGCTTCCGTGCAAGTGCTACTAGCGGTATTAGTAGCAGTAGTAGTAGTAGTAGTAGTAGTAGTAGTGGTGGTAGTAGTAGTAGTAGTAGTAGTAGTAGCAGCAGCAGTAGTTAGTAGTTGTAATGATAATAATAGGGCAGGTCGATTCTCTCACTCCGTCTGGAGGGAAATCATTCCTGCCGTGTTATTTCTTACTCCTCGGCATGCATTAATAAATGGTTCCCACCAACTTCCTGAGGCTGGTTGTAGGTACACCGGTCCCTTTTTGTGAGTCTTATGGCATCTTCTAGTTGTTATCTCTGCACTATGGGGCTCGTCTATCATATCGGTGTCGCTCAGACTCCAATAGACTCAGTATGGAAATTTATACTGATTTGCCCGGCTGGCGAAGATCAGAGCTGTTCACTGAGCCGGGGTATGACAATGGGTTTGTGCGACATTGTCTTACAAAAAGCAACTTCTGTCACTCGTGAGCGGTTATATTGCAGCGAGTAATGAGTAATCGGAAGGTTTAGGGTAGAAAGTTGAAGTTTCGTGGGTAAAGCGTCCGGGTCCTGACTCCGGACGACCCTAGGTCTGGGACAGGATCTTAGTCGGCAGACGATGACAAACAGGCCTGAGACGCCTGTCTAAGTTTCCTCCTGACCTCCCAGAAACTTCTACCCTTGCAAATTTCTTCGTATTTGTGGCATTTGAATTGAATATGCATATCTGGCCAGTTTATCCCTATCTGAGTGGAATGTGGAGTCCTGATTCTGTTTAATGCGCAGACCGGCTAGAATCAACATCCTAAAATAGCTTCTCGGGGGAGAGATTTGTGGTTTGGCTTACGGCACCGAAATGCGAAATGGGAACTTTAGGGGGTAAAAGTTGGTTCTTGAAAGCATTCATAAGCGCCTCCCAGTCAAGCCTCAGGTCTGACGTTCCTCATGAGTGCTTTTTATCCCAGCCTTCTCGACTTTGCCAGCTTCTGTAAGTGATGGGTTTTAATACGCGTTACCCATATAGAGTATGGAGTGGTCAGCTACTTTTATCCTATGAAATTGTTACCGGATTAAGAAGACTCCTTGGACAGTGCAAACTGTTGTTTAGCGCGTATTGGCACTATTATGCGCCAGCATGTTCGCAGCACAAAGATTTGCTTGCCTGGTCGGAGGTCCGACGTTTTTCTCGCTCCACTAGACACATTTCGACCCCTTTCACTTGGTTCGTACACACCAATGTATTTTGAATGTCAGGCCAAGTCCATTCGGGCCGCATTTTGCCAGCATAAATTCGTCAACATTACAGCCTACTAATATACAAATAGTAGGAGGTTTGTAGTAGCTTAATGCGCAGTTTGGGAGGTGATCATGGATTTTTGCCGTGCGTCATCCTCCTACCAAAGTCGAACTTTTCATCCGTTGACTGTCGCAACACGGTTTGTAGGCACTGACTGCCCCAGCGTCAATCCTGTTGCTGGATGGATTTTTCCACTTCTCCAGCTGTTTTTTCTGGTAGACTTTCAAAACATGCATTTAAAAGCCCCGACGCCGGCGTGATCAGTAGGAGCTAATCTTGACGAACGTCAGCCCATATCTCTCAGCACCTGAGGTATTCGGCTACGGTAGCCTGTTTCTTGTGTGTTTCCGTACAAACTGAGTGTTTATGCGTCTCCGAATCCCTCCTATAATTTCCACGTGTTTATTTATGTCGCGTCCCCTGTGGACTTTGCAGCACTTGGCAACTTGTTAGTTCTAGTTTTCTTCAGGTATATTCCGATTTCGAAACGTAGACTGCCAGTTACCAGTTTTCACACTCCGACTTCTTGGACTCATTTACCGGAAAATGACGTGAGCCACGGGCGCGTTGTCCTGTCGGTTGCGGTAATGTTATTCTGCCTGCATTACCCGCCGCTGCGAGGCATAACGGGAAGAATGAGTTCCGTAACTCGATCGGTGGGCGCCCACCCCTACCACTAACGTAAATTTGGTTTTATATAATCCTCTAGGACTTAAGGTCATTCTCAGAAACGCGACGCCCGACTTAACATCATCTATCAGATCACTGACAGATAGCATGAGGAGGATAGGTCTGAGAACAGATCCCTACAGCAGGAACTTGAACCGTTGCCTAGCTACCACGCACCATAATTTTTCGTTGGTGCCCGCGCCAAAGCATTTTCTGGCCCAGAACGGGGAGCTTACTGTAACGTCCATCTGAGATAACCTGGAGATAGGGGTCAGCTGTTGTTGAACGTTGTCGAACTCCTTACCGAAGTCTGTGTCTTAATTTTTATGAGGTAGAATTGGTACTGTCCCATTTTTCCGACGAAAGAAAACCGCGTTTGACGCCTCTCACCATTGGCGCGCAGCGGAAGAAAGTTAGGCTGATCTGTCAGCAGCCATTTCATGGCGTTAGCTTTCGGCTGACTGAAGGCCCACCGCAACCAATCGACACCCCCGAAACAAAATGGGTAGGAGTAATTTCTTGCGCCACCTGTACCCGCGATTAATTTAGACTAGGCTTCAGAAGTTCGAAAGTCACTTTAAATTAGGTGAACTCTAGTGACCTAATTAATGGGTTAGACCCAGTGTCTGAAAGTTTGTCCAAATTCCACATCCCAGAAGTACTGAGAATCTTCATCCAGATGTTAGCCATCATTGGTGTACATTGAAGTGACTCCACCCGTTTGGGTTTGGTGGTGGTGGTGGTGGTGGTGGTGGTGGTGGTGGTGGTGGTGGTGGTGGTGGTGGATGCCGTGGTCCTGACGACTTTTTTTACTGACATAACGGAACGAGCTTATCTGTCAGTACTTGTTAAACGCCAAATGCCAGAATGACCGCCTCCACAATGAACTTGGATGTGCTTGTGCTCTGTTCAGACAGCTGCCCACCGGAATTGAGGTAGGTTTCCAGGTGATAACGCAGAACTCCTCCTCCCAGCGCTCAGTGGGAAGTTCGGTAAGAGAGTTCCTTGCCAGGTGTTGACGAGCAAAGGCTTGGAGTACGAAGTCAGCAAAGGATACCATTACTCGTTAGACTCTTTGCTTTTGAAGAATTAGACCACGGTGACTATTATCGTCTAGAAGCCTATGACAAGGAACCTTAAATGCTTCAACATCCCTCTTGCCGATGCGTACGCAGAGTGCTCCAGGAGGCGCCGATATCTGATCCTGCAGATGTTTTTTTTATTTGGGCTATTTCGCTTCTTTTTTCGTTGCTGTGTTTCGCAGTACGCTTATCTGCCCAGCTGAACACCCAACGATGCCATTCGTGCTCATGTCTAGGGTCAGATGTGGTTATTTAGCCACACCTGTGGCAAACAAACCCCAACCTCCTCTAATGCGGGACCGGTTGTAATAGAGCTTTTTACAGATGGGGCCGGGGAACGCACAGGCAACGAGGTCAAGTAATTTTATGCCAAAGAGAAGCTATTGGAACGCACGGTTGTACTTTGAGTGCTTGCGAAGTAGTTGCCCTAACCCTGAAACATCCAACGCGAAAGTTAGCAGGAGACGACAGGCCGAAGGTCAAGAAGGACCACCGGCATTGGGCCGAAAAAGGTAGACACGGCAACAAATAAACAAGGCCGCCAACAGAACACACACCGCAACGCACAGTAACACCATGCCAACGTAAGCACACCAACTCAAAATAGTTAAGTGCAGTGAGTGACCGATCTCATGAAATGTTGGCCAAATTCTGAAATGCGTTTTCGATTAGGAAGGATTACTTTGGTGAGGTTGTAACACCATGCCAACGTAAGCACACCAACTCAAAATAGTTAAGTGCAGTGAGTGACCGATCTCATGAAATGTTGGCCACATTCTGAAATGCCTTTTCGATTAGGAAGGATTACTTTGGTGAGGTTGTAATACTGATTATCTTGCGGCATAATCCTATAATCTTCCGGACTCAGCAGGATATCGGCTCTTTAATGCACTTCTTATCAACCTCCTGCAGAAACCGCACTCGGTAAAAAAGGACTACTTAAGTTGCATGCACTTTTCTCGTTAATTTTCGATGGTCTTGCAAATCCAAATATATTTTATAACAAACATAAACAGAAAATATCCTTTCTTTCCGTCGTTTAATAGGCAATCACGTCAACTTCATATTTTATACTCAAGGAAGGAGTATAATTAGGTTTTAAAAAGATTTTCTGATTTCCGAATAATTTGGAGCCTGGTCATCATTACATTAGCACCTAGTGATTTCACTCCACAAGGTGCATGGGTTCCGCGTAAAGAAAATCACACATTCTTCTATGTCTTTAAAAAGATATCATATAGAGTCTATAAAATTTTGCAATGGATTTGGACGGTGTTCTACATATCACGAGGAGCAGTGGTTAACGGACACGTACGATGCCGCATGAATGGACATTGCTCGGTCTCAAAAAATCTCATAATTAGAAAATTCCTTAAGACCTAATTATACTCCTTCCTTGAGTATAACATATGAAGTTGACGTGATCGCCTATTAACCGACTGAAAGGAAGAATGTTTTTGTTTATGTTTGTCATAAAATATATTTGGATTTCCAAGACCACCGAAAATCAACGAGCAAAGTGCATGCTACTTAAGTAGTCCTTTGCTACCGAGTGCGGTTTCTGTAGGAGGTTGAGAAGAAGTGCATTCAAGAGCTGACATCCTACTGAGTCCGGAATATTATAGGACTATGCTGCAAGATAGTTAGTATTACAAACCCATCAAAGTAATCCTTCCCAATGGCCAACATTTCATGAGAGCGGTCACTCACTGTAGGTCAACAGTATTGGGTCTATCGGGTGCGGCTACATAGCCACATCTTACCGTATCTGGTTTTCAACTGTCCTACTGTATTTGCCAGACCTCACCGTGCGCGAGACTGAATCCACCTCTGACTTATGTGAACAAAGAAGTTCAGGAAGCTGAATGTCGCTAAGCAAATTGTGTCACGTAAACATCGCACGACTAACTAACCCGAATTCGAAAAAGTAAACTTCCTGCCTGTCTAAATGCTGATTCGCTGCAAAAACCTGCTATATTTTAGATGCCTGTTTCGCCCCGAAAAGTGGCCAATTCACTCGGTTGGATATGCGAGCATCCGTTTGTGGCTTTCCGCACTACCTCGAAAATCAACAGAGTCCTTCTTTTACCGTTAAGGATAATCCGGTGAAGGCCATTAAAAACTTCGAGAATTAATCCCACGAAGGTAGTAAAAGACGCCTGATGGGAGGCTGTGTATGAAAAAAGAAACAGGAAATGAAAGTCGACATTTTATTTGCGTGTTTACAGTTAATGGACTGCACGCGATCCTTAAAGTAATCAATAAAAGAATGTACAGCTTCGAAGATTTTGTCTGATCAACAAAACTGTCAGAAAGATGCTCCTAGAATCTGATTGGCTGACGCAGAATAGTGACTAGAAGTGGAAGGGCATATCTGAGTGAAGCTCAGAGGGTGAGGATCCGTTCAAGAGCCACCGGGAGCAGGATGGGGAGGAGGATGATACATGCATGAGGGATAGAACGGGCGGCTGGATTGCAGCCCTGCTTATTGTTGCAGTAGTTGAGGCGCATTAGAACCCTGAGGGTTCCTGCAATGGTCTGACCCCAGCGGCCGCCCTCCGGCCCAATCGTGCCGGTCACCGCACAGGCTCTCTCAATCCGTCTCTCCCACTGGCCATCGATCTCAACTGCAAAGCATATAAAGGCAATCACCACAGTGAACAGTTTGGTAGGTATAGGAGCATTGCTGTTTGCTCGGACAAGCAGTTATATAAATATATATATAATGATGTTAGGGGGCGCTCACCGATCGTTCATACGGAACTCACTCGTTCCGTTGTGCCTTAAGGGCTCTCTCTCGAGCCCAACCAGCAGCCGCACAGCGGCGCATGACGACGGCTAATAAGCCAGAAATGGCCATTCCAGTCTCCCTTGTCTTTGTCGGTAATGCTATTCTGCCTAAATATATATATATATATACACTCAGGAATGGGCGCACACCGATCCACTGGCTTCCCGGAGCAAACAAGTTTCGTATGAGTGATAGGGGTCACAAACAGGCAACCACCTACCAGGCCGAAGTCGGCCAAGCTATAACATCAGAGGGTATATATAGGTATATAATGGTAGGGGGCGCTTACCGATCGTTCTTACGGAACTCACTCGTTCCATTGTGCCTTATGGACTCCCTCTCGAGCCCAACCAGCAGCCGCACAGCGGTGCATGACATAGGCAGAATATCACTACTGACAAAGACAAGGGGGACTGGAATTGCCATTTCTGAATCATTAGCGGTCGCCAGTCATTCATACCCAACACCAAGTGTGGAACACCTAGGACTTGATCCCGCAACCTATTGGTTAGAAGTCAAATGCCTCTAACTACTGAATCACGGGCTCGTTGTCCTGTCGACTGCAATTGGGAGGAGTGAGTTTCGTAAAAACGATCAATGAGCGCCCCTCTACCATTGTATATTATCGATCGCAACCGACAGAACGAGTCCATGGTTCCGTGATTAGTGGCGTTGGACTTCTAGCCAATAGGTTGCAGGATCAAGTCGCAGGTGTTCCACACTTCCGGTTGGATATGAATGGCTGATGACGGCTTATAAGCCAGAAATGGCCATGTCGGTCTCCCCTGTCTTTGTCGGTGATAATATTCGGTCTGCATATATGCATATTATGACAGATAGATGCTCACCAATCATGTTACATGTATAAAACCGGAATTTAAGTGTAGATCTTTACAGAGTGGTGGATTAGTTCGCAGGTTTGAGACTTCAAATGTCTCCACAGACAATCATTATACGCCCCGAGTTTACGTTTAAAACTTAAGTTTCTCTCTGTTTGCGAATACTCCACGAAAGTGAGGAGAAAAATAAACAAACATACCTTCTATTATCTTCTTCAGGCACCGGCTGTAGTTTAGACCGTCGTTAGGGCAGGGCTCAAGGATGGCAGTGCGATTGTCAAATGGATCATCACAGTGAGGTTGCACGATAGATGCACACTGGTAGCACTTGAGGTTTGGGCCGAAGCCCACATTTTGAGCAGTAGTCGTCAGGGCGAATATCAAAAGCACCAGCATAATAGGCCTCAGTGGGTCCGTCATCGGAAAATCATGAGTTGGGCTCTGAGAGAACGAAGGCCTGAAACGCAAACAAACAAGCTTTGTAAGGGTGAAACCGGTTGATTGTAAGATGTTCCATCGGGCAAAAAATGTTGTTAGAATATGCGCTCCGCAGCTGGATGGAAGCAGGCATGGTGACTTGCACAGCATCTGCCGCACTCTATCCTCCTCCCCCGCCTGAGCTCGGTATCAAAACATTGTCAAGATGATGGGAGGCGGAAGAGAAAACAGATGGCTGGCGCGGCCGAACCTGCAACTAGGTGTACCTCTACACACTCCAACAACATTTCACTAGGCCTGCCGCCGCACCCCGAATTTTGGCGTTTCTGTCGGAGTCCATTATAGAGCCCAAGTCCTTCAGCTCCTGGAATTCTGTCTTAGGACGTACTTCACGATCGACGGGACAATCTACGAACAGGTGAAGGGCACACCAATGGGTTCGCCGATTTCGGGATTCATCGCCGAGGCGGTCCTGCAACGGTTAGAGTCGCTGGTCTTCCAACACCACAAACCGACGTTCTGGGCCCGGTATGTGGATGATACCTTCGTCGTTATCGATCGGGATCAACTGCTGACATTCAAGGAACGTCTGAATGCGGTCTTCCCGGACATACAATTTACGATGGAGGAGGAAGAGAACAACCAGCTAGCCTTCCTGGATGTCCTCGTATGCCGCAAGGATTGTGGTGGACTAAAGACCAAAGTGTACAGGAAAGCGACAAATACGATGCAAGTACTGAACTTCAATAGCAGCCACCTAATCAGGCACGAACGCAGCTGTGTAAGGACGCTCTATCGGAATGTCGAAACGCACTGAAGTGAGCCGGAAGACAAGATTGCCGAGCCACAATACCTCCGACGGGTCTTCAAAGCCAAGGGCTACTCGCGCAACTTTGTCAACCGGTGCATACGCAAAAGGGAAGAAAGACCTAACCGCACGGACACTAAATTTTGACACGCGTTTCCATATGTCAAGAACGGTTCGAAAGCTGTCGGTCGCCTTCTCGCACCACTTGGGGTTGGAGTTGCACAAAGACCGGAGGCAGCCATCAGGCGTCAGGTAATGAGACCAAAAGACCCGCTGCCGCGGCGAGAAACGTCCGAAGTCGTTTATCGGATCTTATGCACTTGCGGACAAAACAACTACGTCGGAGAGACCAGAAGACAGCTCCGAACGCGAATGGACGAACAAGCTGCAGCCGTGCGGAGAAATGACGCCAGCTCTCAAGTTGCGGCTCATTCGACGGGTTCCGGCCACACATTTAAATTCGATGAGGCCGAAATTCTCGCAAGAGGTGACAACCGCGTGAGCCGGGAGCTGCTTGAGTTCATTAACAAGTGCAATGGCCTTCCCCTTCCAAACTCGGTGCCGAGACTTTGCCTAGGCGGAGTAATTGGCCACGCGGGGAGCGCACAGGTGCGTCAGATGGTCGAGCAATCCTCACACCATCATCCAACGCACGTGGTGGGCATTCCAATAACGCCTGTCAGAGGCCATTATAGCCCGAATGCTGGTCCAGTGCATTTACCGCGTGGCCCGTTTTGTGGGCAAAAACTGTCCAGATGACTGACATTACCGCAGACGCCTGGTTGTCACTGTCGTTAACTTGTAGCGAGCAGCCCCCATGACCGGTCCGGCGTCATTGTTCTTGACCTCGCTGCCTCAAGGTCATCCACCCTTTTGCAGTGAACCGTTTTGGACGCGCTAAGTTGAAGCCTCACGACAGACAGCTCGGGCATACCTGCGTTCGCACAGCCGCAGCTGCCCATGGGGCCACTTGAACGCAACCCACACTGACTGGACGCCACTTGAGCTTGGCCCACGAGCCTACAAAGGCGTCTGCCACCCCCCCCCCCCCCCTGCAAACACGACCTAAGCCACTGGGACACCACCGCTCGGCAAATGCAACACATACGGACTGGACACCACTTGAGCTTGGCCCACGAGCCTAAAAAAGCGGCTACCACCACTATCTCAGGGACTCTCAGGCATGACTGGACGCAGTCAACACCAGCCCTGGCTTCGCCAGCGACCGCTGCCGCCTGAGAGGACAACTCCGGGTTCTGTGCACAATAAACCCCTCATTCTGGTGCCTCCCGTCTTCTCCCTACAACGCTAGGATTTGCCCTGATTAGTGTACTGTTCACACTCTCACCGCCTGCCGCAACAAACTCGAAACAGGGTGGGATAGCAATTTCAGACTTGAGAAGATTCCCATGGAAGGACGCGTGGACTTTCTTTGATGACGGAATCTGTGCGCGCTGAAGGACTTAGTGCAGTCTGTTAATCTTCCTCCCCCTGCACTAGAATGAAGCTGACAGCCGCTTGACAGAACAGATGACAATTACTCGATTTCTCTTATTACACGCATGTTTTAGTCAACAGCACAAGCGTATAACCGTATAGGTCCCAGGATGATTTATTAAAAGTAAACTTTTGCTCACTTAATGGTCCCCGATGGGCGTACACGGTATTCGGACGAACAAAAGTGACCGCAGCTGAACTAGGTTGGCCAAAAATGTGTCATTATTTGAACTTATTTTGGAAAACGTTCAAAGTCGTTAACCAGAATTACTTGTGGCCTCATCAAGCATAGTTAAGCAATTCCCAGGAAAGCGAGAATGCACAGTGGTTTGTGTAGGGTGTCCTACAGATGGCGAATTATGCTGCCTATGACCTTTTCCATACTAAAAACCACTAAATAAAACTCTCAGAATTTCTGCTTTTACGCGTTTTATTCGTAAACCTGAGCGGCTGCGGAAATCTGACCTACGCAGCTTAACTCTTAGTTTTACAGAGGCTTCATTCAATTAACTAGGAGCTCCAACATCATTGACGCAGTTAACTTGTCTTTGATGACTTGCGTTTCCACATAATGTGAAGCCGTGTTCTTCATTTGACATATGACTTGCTTCTAGACGGTGAATAGTATTGTTTCATTGTGAGGCTATAGATCTTCATAGTGAACAACGGGGTTCTGAATGCTTGTTGTTGTTCCCTCAGTAGATCACTCATTATAATAATTGAGATTGCGGTTGTTCCTACTTGATCAGAGGAGCCCAGATTATTTTCGGAATCACTTTGCCAGGACGAAGCCCAAAAGTTGTCGCCGATGTCGCGTCAAATTCCAACGGGCTGATGATTTAGATATTCAGCCGATATACCAGCCTCTCCATGACATTTGCTGACCGGTCGAAGTATAGTTCGACTCTCCGAATAAGTCAATAGACAATTTACTTCGTCCTTGCCGTTTAGTTCTGATTTACGTACTCGGCCGAATAAATTTTTCGGACGATCGATCAGTGAGTCGTACAGCAGGTTCACAACAATTGACAGTGGAGAATAAAGATAATTTCATGTGGGCATCGAGATAACGTTTACCCGGTCGATTAATCAACAGTCAGCCAACGGTACGAGTCTAGGACTTCTCGGGGTGAAGGGCTCTTCAGTAACTTATTATCTTTTTGTCAGAATCTTTACGGTTAGGAAACGCAATGTGGGCGCTGGGACGTCAATCTAAATTTAAAAACGACCGACTCTAGGCAGTTCGCAGCAGCTGAGCACCCAAACGCGGCATCAGAGATGTGTCGACTATCTAAATGCGTCAAATGGGGTTAGGACTAGAGGTTGTATTACGAGATTGTACGTGCATGAGCTGACGGGTGACGACTTGTAGCTCGTAAATGCTAATTTTCGCTTCAGAGCTGGGCGCGAGAATTATGGTGAACATCACTAAAAACTACGTTTAAAAAAACATTCGCAAAGGGCGAGGTTTCTTGTTAGCTTCAAAATATGCTCTCCTTCAAAGCAACCTTCTAATTAATATCTGCCGTTCCGCATTTAAAAGACAGGTGACCGGGCCCCTAGGCCTATATTTGATTCAACTCCGCCACCTTAGTTGGGTCCGAGCGATTCCGCCTGCGTTCATATCTCATAAGGTACACAATAGCGTCAGACACCAACTGCCGGTCAAAGTGGTGCGCATGAAATAATCTGTTGACACTGATAAGTCGATTACTTCCAGCACAAACATTGGAATGACGTCACCCGGCTAGCCCGGCTGCCTAGTTGCAGACTAGTCTCCAAATTGGCTGAATCTTTTCAGCAACTGCATATGTGGGTCAGTTTCGGCATACATCATATCCCGTGGATTTTGTGTTCGTGGGAATGCATCGAGTAGGCTGTGCGTAGTTGAGGTCAAGTGTCTTGTTAAGCCACTCGCATCAGGGGGTGCCAAGTTCTTATTCGAAATCGATTATGCATGTCAAATCCGGCTGTAGGGTGGCACCGTGGGTGAGATATAAAAACGTCCTCGTGGGTGTGGCCAAGCGTGGCTGGACGTGGCCATGGCCACGCCATATTTTAAGAAATTTCAAGAGCTGTTCCTGCCGCTTAGATGGAGTCTTCTGTGTTGGAATGCTCCGCATTTACTGAAATATGCATTAATTTACCCGGAGAGTGCCTTGAATCTTCACTTCTTGGGAGATGAAGATTTGCCCGGATAAGACGTTTATGACACTTTTGTTTAAGTGGGCCACTTGGAGGCCATTTATCTGCTAACCCACGTGACGCTCGCGACGAACTGGTACGCTGTCCAACGTTTATTTCATGCCCATCGCGCCTTTATGGTCTTGCTTACGTCAGTACTAGTCCATTTCATGTTACGCAAGTAGGTTTATTAACTGTATAGAAATTTTAATCTCACAGTGAGCGTTTCAAGTGCAGTTAAACTTTCTTATTTTGTTTTATACCAATCAATGACAGCAGTCATGAAGCGCAAGTATTATGGTTTTCACCGGAGCACAATTTACAAACGGATTGCGCGTGAAAAGAAGGCATATTATGCGCGGATGGATGATCCTTCCGTTCCATCTACGTCTTCGGTGGTAGACCAGCCACCGGCATTAGAAATGCCTGAACTAGTCCCGGAAGTTTACACTGGTAGTCATCTTACTGTGTTACTTGATAGCAAGTTTAGAACCCGTAGACATAAGCGAGGACGCGGTCGCAGGCAAATGCTTTCTGGCGGATTTACGGGAATTCTGCTTGGAGGCCCAAATGCCACTATCCACAACCAAGAAGTTGTTTCGGATGCTGCGACCCTACCACCCAGAAGTACCCAAAGACCCAAGGACGCTATTGCAAACGCCTCGAGCCTGAATTAGCAAGCCCCGAATATGGGCAAACAAATTAATATGACGGAAAACATCCGGGCTTCTCTGCATCAGCCCTGAGATTGTTGGCCGAGGCGATGATTATATGCTAGGGTGGGTTGATGGACGCCTAGGCGTCTTTCCACCGACAGCTTAATCAACAACTACACCAATTAGCTTGCCCTAATTTGGGTTAATGAATTTTCTTCGCACGAGGCAGTGATGATGTGGACCATTAGAGCCGCCAGTTATCTCCTTAGTCAACGAGGGGAGGGGGCCAAACTAGTCACATTTAAATGCGAATCCGGCGTAGCTCCACAGGAGGTCAATTATGGTCATGTACATAGAACTGTGTGCATGACTTTCCAGTGTCTGGGGACGGGCAGACGAATTCCCTACTTGGAAACCCAGACCCGCGTCTGGCCTGCACTGAAGGAAGCCTTCTTGTGACACGCCATCTAGGAATTTCATTTCTACTGATATTAACATTATTAAGTACTCCAGTGACAAAAGCATTACCAATGTTTTACAACAGTTCGTTTATTTGCAGGAACCGCCAATAACCGGTGACAATGGTCCAGAAGCCCAGTTATGTCCATTGAAAAACTGCATCCTTCCTGTATTTTTCGTACCGACCCCTATCATTTGCAAATACTCAATAAACCATCCTTTATAACCATTGTCTTTCCACTTTCCTATGTCATGGGATAGAGTGAACGCTAACTAGGTTCTCCGATTGTGCACTTACGCGGGGATTTTTATCGCTTACTTGCTTAAGCCGAGACTGGGAGGATTCAGTGACGCATGCAATCTTACTGCGACTACTGCCAGTTTAGAATTAGTGCACTCGCGAGCAAAAAAACGGAGGCCATAAAAGGGTGGGTGGACGAATGGAGAAGGGGGGCGCTGCCGCGCATGTTTTCCGGATGATGTGGCCAAACTTGGCTGTGTTGTCAAAAGCTACGTCTTAGGCACGCCAAATGGCCACGTTTGGCTGCGTCATAGCCACATCTTTCCGCGACGGCAAGGCGCGGCCAGCTGGGGCTGGTGCTAGCAGAGGGAGGTGAGCGTCGGAACGAACGCGCAAAATGAATGGGAAGAATCGTCTGGTTGGAAGTGTGGTAGTAGAGGACATTTTTTCGGGAGGGCTAAGCGTTGTCAGCCAATTAAATTACTAACCACATACTAGCCCGGAAATAATAGCGGCTAGCAGATATTTAACCCTAAAGGACGGTGTCCCCAAATTTTTGGTTTACCATTGTCATGTGCACCTATCTTATTAAAATTGATGTACGTGTTGTTTTTTGGAATGTTTTACCATAATTTTAACACTGATTCCGCCGTACGCGTACATTACAATTAAATTCAAAAAGGCGCGTTCTTTAAGATGCGATACAGAAGTTAAGGATCAACATCATGAGAAAAAAGTAGAATATTCTGGTTTCTTAGTTGAAATGATAATTTTTAAACAATAACGCATGCGGATTCGTGCAAAATTTAAATTAATACGACTTACCACCCAGTCACAACTTCATAAATTTGCTTTAAGCAAAATAAATACCATTAGACTGTTAAAACAAATCAGGTCAATTGTCTTGGTTCAAGATAGGGAAGAGGAGTTAACACAGGTAATCATCCAATATTTAAGTCGTCTTCGACAATCACACAATAAGCATAAGGATATTTAGAGCAACGGAGACTATATGGAGGACATGCTTTAAACTAGTGGGTGGTACAGACGGGGGTAAGAAGCAGCGATTACAGATGATAAATTAACAGTCAGCAGAAAATTTCAGCAAGAAGAGCAATCTAAAAACTAATGAACCATAAACAACCGTAATGAATGTCTTGATTGCCGAAACCAGAACAGCATCTGACGGAAAATGTTTGTCAATATCCTTATCGGACATTCGTCTAGTACAAGATTATAGTGCTGGTATACACATGCCCAAAGACTCATATCAAACATTAATGAACCACAACTTTGCCTTGTCGAAATCCCTCCACATGCCTTAAAAGCAACCGAAACCTGGCCATTTAGGAATATTAGTGGTAATGATATATCCTTTACTGGCTTCCAAATATTTTGAGGGAAGTAGAATATCGTTAGGTTTGTGCATGTAAAAGAAAGCTTTGTGGAATCGGAAAAGGCTACTAGGTTTGCCTGTAGCACGGAAGCTATTTAACAGGCCGTCAAGGCCACTGCTTCGCCCTTTCTCGACGACCTTACTATTTACTGACCACCTGGGGCATGCCAAAACGCCGACAGTCATCTTTTGAATAAGTTGGAGAAATTTTCCACACGAACTAGCATCACGACCATGGGGATATCAACGCATAAGGAGTTATGTGAAACACTGTTCAAGCATTAGGTCCAAAATCGATATTCTATCACTGTTTGCTGAAAAAGCATCGAAGGCACCCCTTACACAACATGTTATGAGGCCAACGAAAACTTTTGAAATGCAAAGAGCTAACTACCTGGATCTACTCTTGACAACAACATCAAACGCCATAGATTAGGTCATCTCCATGCCACCCTTTGGCGGAAGTTACAATATTGTGCTTATGTGGGAGCATTCACTATTCCCCATTCTGTCTACTCCAGACCAAATAAAACGCAATATTTCGCGAGAGTCTTCAATCAGATGAGGCAGTATTATCCTGTGTCGAATGGAGTTGAATGTTTATGGGCAATACGAACGATAGCTGGGAGTTGTTTGAAGATATCCTTCTGCAGTTTATCAACCATTGCTGTCAGCTGAGAAGCATACGTCAAAATAAGCAGCGTGAGTAGTAAGATGGCATCCAAATAAAGAAAATTATAACTGAGTAAATAAAAAACTCGTTCATTGAGTACGATTGAAATTAAATTCACAGAAATTAAAATAAATTTTCAAATGAGCCTTACAACAAGTAGGCGCACTCCGTACAGTATGCAGTTTGGGCTTACAGACTAAGTAGTATCATATTACAAAAACGGTCAGCGAGCAGTTTAGAAACTCCCTCCGAAAAAAACAAAATAAATATGAATTTTCTAGCTTTTAAGAACAAAAGGACTGTCGCTCACGACAGGATAAACTTTTGGGTCAGACAGGGCTGGTCTGCATGAGGTAATGTATAAGGGATTCGAAGCAGACATCGACAAGGATCCCTAAACCGGATGAGGCTGTCAGAGTCAAAGTGGCGAGACATGAGGAAGTCAGACGCAACGGGTCACAGTCCGCTTAGAGTCCAGTTGAGAGGGGGAGACATTAAAGACAGAGGCGAATTCCAAGGCGTAGGGGGAAGGTACGACTCTGAGACCTCCTTGCTGACCTACAAAACGACTAACAGATGGCGTAAACAGAGGATTACACCTCATTCCTTAAGAGACTGTTTGGAGTACAAATGGAGAGATGACATAAAAACCCGCGAAGATCATCGCTGCAGGGGAGGAGTACTAATAATGTATTTAATGGCCAATTAAAAAGGAGTTGTAAAAGTATAAGGGATGGTTGCCGCCTGAACAAGCAAAACATTAGAATTTGTCGTTAACTTCCAGGAGGACCCTATTCAAAGTCAAAAAGCGGAGTGTTAGAGAATGAAACGGTCAGTTAGGTTTTTTTGCATTCTGGTGTAATGTTCTTGCGCAATTTCGAGTTGAATGTCGATAGCGTTAGCACTCCTGCGCTGCAGAGCAGCCATGACTGTAGTACTGCTCATACTCCAGCACATAAGCCTGATTTCGGTCGTTATATCCAATAGTAGTGTCGATATAAGGGGGTTTGGATGTTCTAAGAGAGAACAGCTTTTGTTTACAGAATTGTGGAAAGCGCATGGATATTGTTGTACTTTCCAGTGGTAAAATATACACGAGCCTAGACGTTTTGCCACATAAAAATTTTTTACTTCCTCAGGATTTTCGAACCCAAGGGATTCCTTTGATCTAAATGCGAATTACAATTAAGAAGTAGTTTACAAGAAAATGATTATGTTAAATAAATCTTCTGTATATGCACTCAACAAAATGTGGTGGGTCTAATATAGATTTCCGCTGCGTCTTTACCACGCTCTATCCTCACATCTATTGTTGTCTTCCAGTCTTTTTCCAGCTAGCAGTGAAAAAAGCGCCGAAAATTTAAGACGAAGCCTTTCATGGGTGGCACAGCCCGCGGAAGGCGACGGCGGTGGGAAGAGATAGGACTAGCTGACACGGCGCCCCTCGTAACCGATTACAGCAACGTACCCAAGGCCAGTCCGCCAAAGGTGCCCCAGAAAATACGACACGTGATGATATGTAGGAAGTTCTAGAAGGCCCGGCCACTTGCGGCCGCCATCTTGGAGAAGGTTCTAGAAAGCGCCGAACTTTTCCATATTTATACGGCAAGCACTTAGTCACAATTTGGCCTCTCACGAAAAGTATGCATATAATAAATTATTATAATGCTATAATTAAGCAAGACAGCCCTGGCATAAGTTTTTTTAACTTTCCACCCTCGACCTACCCTCAATTAATCAACAATGGCGGACCCAACCTCGTCGACTTCCGCTCTGAAGAAGCTATAAATACGGGCGAGGATTAACCTCCGACAACCCCGTGCCGGTCGCCGCTCTCCGGACGAGAAACCCCTGTCGCCTTCTTCGCTAGGTCCCAGTGCTCCAAGTCGCCCCTGTGGACAATCCCCACAGATTCAGTTTATTTTTGTAATTAGGACTCTTCCCTTATTTTCTTTTTGTATACAGGTCTGTCAGTAAAATAGCGACTAGTCCGTCTTTTCCTGTTGGGCCTCGTTGGCTACTATACTCGCGTTAGACGGGAACGTTACAGATGAATGCTCGTGAAATGCCAACGGGAATGGCTTGTATTAGAAATACAACTCGCGGCTGCGCGGTATCGGGCCGCGAATAAAGCGCGACCAAAAAAACAAAAAAGTAAACCAACACAGGACATTTATACAATCCCTATGTAAAGGTAGAAATAACAAAAAAGCAAGTGCGAATCGCCACATATGAATAAAAACGAAAAACTAACGCTAGAAACGCAAGCAGAGAACAAAATCTTAACCGAGTAGGCAGACAGGCTGTCCTTCAGTATGTGCATGGAGGTTCTATCTGCACAACACCGAGACAATTGGCACTACTGACTTCTGTTACTGAGATACGAAATAAAATAAAATCAAAAACTAAAATACTATCACAGCCTCGTCAGACGTCACAGCCGTAGCTAGATATAATCCTAAGCTAAAGCAAGATGGTGCAAAAAGACGCATAACCACCTATCACAGATCTGCGGGTTGTTAATACAAAACTCATGGAACTCGCGTCGACATTATACACATTTGAAAATAGTTTCCCTACTAACGTCAGTATTACCGTCGCAGGCACCACACGCATCTACGAACGGGATGTCGTCCGTGTCCACGAACGTCTCTTCCAAGTGCCGACTGGGCATCCTAGAGTCCCTGCGCGTAAGACTGCTTCTGGCACTGTGCGTGGAGACAGTTAGGTTCATCGCACAACTTCTCAAAGGTTTGCGAGTCGTCCGGGGGCGTCGCGTGCACGGTCGGCCGAGTGCGGTAGTTAGGAAGCTAAGTGTCACTGTGCACAATACGTGCAGATGGGTCTTGGTCAGGACCCCACTGCGCGAAAAACACATTACCCTCCTCCCTTAACTGACACCGGACAACTTCGTCACTCGTGTCAACTTCCATTTTATCCCCGTTCGGCTGTGAAGGGGAGTCGGCAAGCGACTTTTGTAGAAAACCAGAAGGAGCATTAATGATCCGGGCGGCAAACGCATCAACTTCCCGCAATAACTCGGAGCGTTGACTCCCGCAACTCTTTAATTTCTCCACGATAGGCTGCACGTAGCTCATAGCTACGTTGTACTTGTATGCTTCGGTTAATGGCCTTCGTACTTTGCTGACGACAATGTCTGCCGGGAAGGACGTAACGGACCCCGGGTCAACAATTTCGTCAGCGATGACCTCCTCACATACTTCCGCATGAAATACCCACCTATTTTTCGACGGAGCCTGGCAGGGGTCGACCCTATGCTGTTCCAAATAGTTGACAATATGAGCACACGGCAGATGTCAGTTACGGTGAAAGTGACAGCTACACGTGTTCACTGCATTACTACAAATCCGGACATCGGCTTTTTCAGAGAGGTGGGATAATAAGACATCTGAGGCGTGCCCAGCCAGCATTTGACATATTCGACGGACGTGTGGCTTTAGGCCCTTGTAGTGCCTGCGGCGGCAATACTCGTGGGCGTCCAACCGATTAGTGTCATTCGATTTTGACTCTAGAAACTGCACTATGCTGTGAGCGCAGTCGGTGAGAGACAGATATGGTTCACACAACTGCTTCGACACCCGATTGACACTTTCAATCTTGAAAAGTCAAGTTGGCTAACACGTGTTTTCAGTAATTCTTCGTTAGGCCAATGCAATTACATGAAGGAGTGAAAGTGTACAAAATTAACAGTGTTTATAGGTGTCTCAAGGTCAATTATGTCATAACACTCATCTTTCCCACGCCGCCCGCATGACGAGGTCGGCGGGTTTTGGTCCTTAGGGCTGGGGGAGGGGGGTAAGCGAGTTTTTGAGTGATGCTCTTGGATTGAGTACACGGAGTACCCATCACTGTAATCAGGGATTTGAGGCGGCATGTCGCCATCACGTGAGGTTGGCGTTAGCCACGGCAGAGAGAGAGCTTGTGTCAGGGTTTTCTGACAGCATAGCACCGGATTCGCCAGCCGTATAGCCAGTGCCTCGGCCGTTGCTAGTATCCGTTGGCGTTGGCCTTTATAGAAGCTTGTTGGTGTCCGATAGACAACCTGAAATGCTTCCTTGGCATCGACTCGGTGATCCGTATCGATTAAATATGCGAGAATAGAACTGGAAACCGATCGGGTCTCACCTCTGCCTAGCCAGGCGGGCATATGTTCACGTACCCTCTTTACCAGGCGTCTCGTTGTACGGCCGATGTATCCTGCTCCACAGGAGCAAGTGAATGAGTAGATGCACATTGATGTGGCCTCCAACGGTAGTCTGTCTTTACCTCCCAAACGTAGGAGGGGAGAGTTTGTGAAAAATACGCGTAAATTCGCCGCGGGGAATGCTCTCGTGACAGCTGTAGTTAAGCGCCGTCTGACTATTTCGCTCGCTGCGTCCCCTGCAAAAGGCAGTCTTAGGGATACATCTTTCTTTTCTGTAGTCGCAACAGTGGGCTTTGCAATGCGTTCCCAATATTTCGGAGGATAAATCTATCTGGATATCCGTTCTCGCGAAGTGTGTTCTGCAGATGTTAGAGCTCTGCTTCAATAGCTTCAGGTGAGCAGATGCGCCTCACTCTAGATGCCAATCCCTGGACTAGATTTCGTTTGATGTTGAGGGGAACAAAACTGTGGAAATTAATGTATGTCCCGTTCAGGTTTTCTTTCGGAACACCCTGCGCTGGATAGACCCATCCTCCTGCCTGTGTAGAAGGACATCGAGAAACGCAATTTCGTTATCTGCCTCGGTCTCTGCAGTGAACTTTAGCGAGGGGTGCGCACTGTTGAACTTTTGGACAAGGTCCTCGATATCGGTGGTACCATCCGCCGGACAGAAGATATCGTCCACGTACTGACCGTAGAATACGAGGTAATTAATGACATCTTGTAATCTTGTCTTCTCAACTTTGCCCATAAAAACATTTGCAAGGAACGGTCCAAGAGGTGATCCCATTGCCACGCCATCTATCTGTCTGTATATTTGACCATTGCACAGAAACTGGACATTTTGTGTGCAGCGCGTCAGTAGTTCTTTCAGCGTTTTTACTGGCATGCCTATGGGGTAGTTCGTGTCACGAATAACATCACAAAGATAATTTATCGTTTCTGACACAGGTACGTTGGTAAACAGCGATCATACATCCAGTGATAACATCCTCCGTCCGCCAACGTTCATATTTTTGATAGCTTCAACGAACTCAAAGGAGTCTTTCAGACTTCGAGGATACAGATGACCTTGCAGTGGCTTCAGTCTATCCACTAACCATTTTGATAGGGAAAGATAGGGAAAGATAGTGGGAAAGATGAGTATTAATGACATAATTGACCTTGAGACACCTATAAATACTGTTAATTTTGTACACTTTCACTCCTTCATTTAATTGTATTGGCCTGACAAATAATTACTGAAAACACGTGTTAGCCAACTTGACTTTTCAAGTGTAACATGGGAATATTTGCGGAACTTTCAATCTTATTTTTTATGTTGTCGCCGTACGTCACAAGACTACGCCGAGCGTAATTGGCCCACTGGAGTCTACACGGCCACCAGTTAGCCACAAATTACGGCCATAGCTCAGGGAAGATTTCCCTCAAGCTAGAAACTTGCATTTTAAAGAAATTGAAAGACCTGGCGTTCACAGCCCTTCGGAACTGGTCAAAGGCCTGGTCTGACCTATCGCTTCTATAGTCACTCTTAAGTTTTCTCTTAAAAGCCTGCAGCTTGTGAGATGTGCAGATAAAAATTAAAACTTTATTTCCTGGAAAAAAACATCCTTCCAGACTTTCAATTTTCGAGCATCTTTATCTATGAACACCGTGCGTAAGTTGTCAGTAGCAGACCTCATCTGCTCCTTAAATTTACTAACCACCCAGCTCACACTAGTGGCGTCGTCGCGGGTTACAAACGCATAGAACACAGACTGAGCATGCCCGTGCTTGTCAATTACCACAGTGTGGTACAATGCACAACCCTGCCTATTGGTCCGGTATGCGGCGTCCATTTGAACCACATCCGGATACATAGTCCGCAGAGCCGGCGTCGTAAAACAGGCGGCACAAAATTTTCCACCATCATCATAAAAGAAATCAGGGTAGTAGCCACCCCTCATTGAGTACAGGGCGTTCTTCATAACCTTCGCCGACGGATCACACCAAAACACACGGCGGCGCATGTTGATTAGGTTCTTCATCTTCTAATCCAGACCATAGCAACCTACGGCTGTGTTTAGAAAAAAAGGAATGCTACTTTTCAGGTAAACCTTTAGCCGCTCCGGTGAGGGTGGCATCTGCTGCGTCAACCGTAGCAGATTTTTTTTGTCCTGCGCCGCTAACCGCCGGAACTTGGGGTAAGTTGAGGCCATTTGTTTACTGCATAGATGGTTTTGACGCAGATTAGGCGCCTTCACTCGCAGTTTGCCTTCACTTACCATGACAGGAAAGCGTACGATGCGACCAAACTTCAGCGACCTAAACTGTTTGAAATTCAGCATCAGCTGCTTACGTCGACTATGTCCGGGAGCCGCAGCTACGAAAAACTCCAGAATGGCAACATATGAATTATATATAGCGAAACTTCAACGTGTCAACTAGAGGATGATCGGGCGGGAGTTTCTCACTCTTGCGTTTACTGAAGCTGATATAGGAGTCCTGCAAAGGAATAGGTTTGTTATCGAGGCTTACCTTCTCGTATTCTCTAAAAACAGACATTAGGTCGTCGTAACTCTCGTATGTTCCACTTTGGAAAATGTCTTTAAATACGGCGCATAGCCTGCACGTCTGGTCCTTTGTTGTGGGACATGGTCATGACAAAATTGCGTCTACTTACCTGTCGGCGAGGCCGGACGCAATGCCCGAATGTCCGTCAGCCGGGAGCCTGGACTTCTTTGCTTAGAGGGCCGTGGTGCCGCAGGCGCAGGCTACTGTCCATGGATCGCATGGGACGACGTAACCGCGAGGCAGTCCTCCCTGCGGTACTGTATGTAGAAGAATGCAGCACAGCTGGTACGGTTATATAGTGACATCAGTCTCAACGAAAATTCCTGCATACTGTCGAATTGAGGCCAAAACGCACACGCATTTCCGACTGTAGAATACAAACTTCTCCGTATTAGGGCTGCCAGCGGGAAGCTTATGCAAATGGACAGGCTTGAATTGGTAATCCGTCTCCTATGCATATTCAAGGCAAAAGAGTCTTATTCTCACCTCTGTAAGGTGTGAAATGGCATCCTCCAAAGCATCAGGAGATGTGAATTTCCGTCCGTGAAGGAGACGTTGGAAGGTCGCTGACACAACATCACCAGCCTCCATAGCGTGCCGTAAGCGTGGAATATTCAAACTCCCGCGCGTCGAACAATGAGCCAATCAGCGGAGGGTAGCCAGCTAATAAGCGAACAGCCGCCAGCCTTATATATTCTGATCTTAATAAAGCCTGTAATAATGCGCACATAGAAAATTATCAGGCAAAGTAGAAACTTTGGGACACCGCGGTTCCCTTATTAACTGGTGTCCTACAAGGTACCGTCTTAGGTTCTCTTTCATTTCTGCTTTACACTAGTGATATCTCGTTGACAGTTAATCATTCTCATACTTTTATTTATGTTGAAGATCCCAAGTGCGCATACAAATTCACTAAATCCCCTACCCAACATTACGCGGTGCAAATTCATGCTGATTTGCTCGCTCTCTCAGCGGGAAGCTCAAAATACCTGATGGAATTCTCTCCATCAAAACGTCGTTGTATGTGTTTTGGACCTGAAAGGCTACGTCAACAGGTGGCCTTTCAAGGCACTCCTATGGCTGAATGAGATAACACCAAGGACCAAGGTATAATCTACACGAACAATCATGATCTATTGCCACACGCTAATAGAATTCCGCCCAAAGCTGCCCAGATGTGTGGCTTAATTGTTTACAATTTCCATCTTCCTGAAATTAAATTAAGACTTTATCGAAGGCTTGTACTTCAAATTCTCTAGTATTGTTGACCATACTTTGGTTTGTTGAACGAGGCTAGTCGTTCAAAAGTTGAAAATGTTTAAAGATATTTTACAAGAAGACTCTTAAGTACGATACCCCAAATATTTCCCACTCAGATAGATGCCTGCTAATTAACCTGAAATTTTTATGGGTTCGAATATTAGAAGTAGGCCTCTGTCTCCCCTTTCGCATTAGTAAAAAATCAAATCTTCCTCGGATGTCAGCTCTTACTCCATTTAGTCACCCACATACTCTTTGCAGTCCTTCCTTGATTATACCACCTCTCGCCTCCTCCACCTCTAGACGCTGTCGTTTTTCCGCTTACAGGTATACTTTCCTCTGGAATAACCTTCAAATTGAAATGAGATCATCAGATAATGTACATAATTTTAAGGGAAGGCTGCGCCGTTATCTGAATACTGACTAGACTAAACGTTAATTTTCTTCTTCCTCCACGGACGAATTTCTGCATGACATTGTCAAAGGGCCTTCGGAAAGTTAGGACGCCGTCGCCAAATTACCGTATTCGCTCACGTTTTCTTCTCAATGTGTGGTTTCGCTTTCTAGGGTCTCTCATCAGAAATTTGGATTTTTTTGATTTTTTGATCCACGCATCGTTTCCTTCACGGAACGCCATGTTCTTCCCGACAAATCCTCTGAAAAGAAGCGGGGGCATGTTGGCCTGCACGCTCTAAGTCGCCTCCATCGCGTAATCGCGCTCCTTATCAGGAATCCATTTTGATGCCTGCGACATCGAACTCTCACCACAATCGACGATTTTCGCGGTTCTTGATATTACCTCTTCATTTCTACTCCAAACAGTCTGTTGACCATCATGGCGGAATTATCTGTTTTCGTTATCTGCTAGTAGTTTGGTCGGTCAGCATGGAGGGCTCAGGGGCACATCTCCACCCCACGCCTAGAAGTCCATCTCAGCCTTTAATGTTTTCTCGTCGGCTGGAGTCTGATAGGACTATGGCCGATCGCGTCTGGTTTCCTCTTTTCGCTTTCCCTCTTAATAGCTTGTTTGTTGTAGCCCTTTGTCCTTTTTTGTTCTTACACCACTTTTACAGTTATTCCACTCGTTAAGCATTCTCCAAACTCGTATTTGTTCACTTTTGCTCAAGTTTGCGTTTATGTAACAGTAACGCGGATACTCCAACCGGAGAGATTTCCGGTTTCACAATGTGACTTTTCGTGCAGCGACTTTTGTTTTTCACTGTTGACAGTTAAGTCCGTCTTGGCGTTGCAGTTTAACTTGGATGTTCTCGAGTTGGTCTTAGCGTAGGATCGCGTTATCGATCGACTGGGCCCGATAAGTGTCTTTTTCGGAAGGAGTTTTTTAACCGCTCTCTAACAGTCTATCCTAAGTATGAACAGAATACTGTTCGAAGTATGCCTACCCGTCCGAAAATTCACTTGAAAATTTATTTTTATGTTGATATTACCCTAGGAGGTTCTTAAAAAAAACAATCTATTTTATCTGCCAATTCCATTCAAATTTATTGGCCACTGACCAGCCCCCGAGGGTGCGGCCTTACGGAGACTTTTGTTCCGGAAACGCATCTGCCGGTGGACTTCATTGATTTGATAAGCCGCATTCTGAACAATGCTAAGCATAAAAATTCCATCGCTCCCTCGTGGAACATTTCTAGTCTCTAACCAAACACCACGCACCTAACTGTGCGGGGTGCCCCAAGAAATGCTGATTCATGAAAGATATTCATTTAAGACACATGCGATGTTGGCATTTCTAAGGGTTATTGTGACGATGCTGTTACATTTACTCAGCTGCCTGCGTGAGCGTCGCCATCCCCCTTATCTTTAAGACTGAAATTCACTCACTCGACACAACTTCTGGCGTTTCGACATCTCCGCCCCTCCAAAATGTTATTTGTATGCAATGCACTACTAACTCCAAAACTCATTTTGCGTTTTCGTGTCCCTTAAAGTCCTGCATTACGAATTGAGGGTGTCGGTCGATACACTCGGGTCGATTCACGAGTAGATGGAGACGTTTTCACAAACTGAGACACTTCCAATACGCCGGGTCACACGGCGCAATTACGAATGGACCTATCGGAGGAGCTCCGCCAACTACAGTAAAGAAATGAAGAAGCGATTGCACGCCACAAAACAGTTCATTTGACCTCGTCCTCTGCTCGTGCTTCGGCGGGGGGTGTAAGATAGGTTAGAGGGGGCTTTCGCGCTCTGATACAATAAAAACCGTTAGCGTTCTCGGGCTTGATCCACTCAACGTCCGTAAAGCCGATAGCCTCCAGAGACATGCTGTAGGCAAGGGCGTCTGCCCGGGCAAAGCGCATCAGCCCGAGGCGAGTGTAGAGACGGAGCCGACTCGGCTGGAATGCCGTAACAATTCGGCCGGAGGGGCGAAGGACTCGGTGAATCTCCGCCAGCGAGGCATCCAAAGAGGGCCAGAAGTAGAAGGAGTCCACGTGGAAGCAGACGTCCACGCTCTGTGAGGGTATAGGAAGACGATGGACGCTGTTATGGTGGATGGCTACACGGTCAGCCTTGTGGAAGGGCCTGAGGTGCCTGTGCGGGGTGTAGGGGGAGCACGAGCGGATGAGAAGCAAGGCAGGTCGGAAGGCAGCTTTTAAATTACAACTCAGATTACTACTAAAATTTAATTAGTAGCAGTTACTTTCTTAATCTTAATGCCAAGACACGAAACAGTCATGATGACAAATAGGCTGCTTTCATACAGCTTTATCCCGTTCAAAATATGCCTGGAAATACGCTGGCCCTTGCGAAGAGCATTCGCACCGGTTGAAATGAATTGTAGGTCGGGAGAATAAGTTTCAGATCAACACTGAAACCGTAACGGACAAGCGTTTAACGCAGCCCGAGGCAGCTCGGCTAATGGACGCAACTCAGGTTTAGTAAGCTCTGAATTCTAAGCAGCAATGCCAGGTATGAAGGCACACAGACTAAGCTCTAGACAAGGGCCCGCTTCCAACAATGGCCTTTGAAATGGGTACTGTCCCGTTGAGCCGCCATTTTTTTCTGCTCCACACTCGTGGAATTAGTCATAATTGGACGCCAGTTGGACTATCTTACCTCTCATGTACTGATTTTTGTCTCCTTTGTCTGAACTACAATTATGAGGTCATATGTATGCTGCGCTAGCAGCGCTCCGAAGGAAATACAATCTGGCATAAATATTCCATCGAATCCACCGATGATTGTCAATGATGCAGTTTTTGGCAGCAGGAATATTCAAAATGAAAAAAAACGAAGTCTACAGACAGAATGCTCCGTGCGTGACCTTGACGATGACGACCTTCGTCACCTGGAATCTCTCATTTAAAACGAATTGGAGGTATTTACGGTCTCTCCCCCCCCCCATCTGCCTGCGTTCGCAGGTAGCACGACGAGTCAGACGTCCAATCCCGGCCGCTGGGGTGGTTAAACATGGGCTAAAATATGTCCACATTCAGACCAGGGTGCGAGCTGGAAAAAGTCAAAAGGAAATCAGTCGTAGTTTGCTCTCTAATCAGGGTGAATATACGGGTTTGACTTCTGTGTGATCTAACGTATTTCCGATGCCGTCTGACAGTACGTACGTGACCCCGTAGCCCAGAGGACAAGGCGTTGGATCCAAGTGTTCTCTGAAATCCCGGGCCAGGCGCGTCTGTGCTTAGGGCCCGGCCGGACGGCTACAGTAAATAAACCAGGACTGGCCATTTCAACCTTACTTGTTATTTCTATCGGCGATAGCTCCCGACTACAAAGACTTGACGCCAACGATGTTCTTCGAAGCAACCAACAGAGAGATAGCAGAGAACGCTAGAACTTACTTAAGACATAGTTTCACCATGAACGGCGAGATGTCAACACCGTGGACGAAACCGTCGGCGTCCAGGGGCAGATGCACTTGGTACTCCTTCAGTCCGAGTCGAGCCAACCACTGGGGACCGAGGAGGCGCGCAGGGGGGTTAAATCGAAGGTAGGCGGCCGTGCGAGGAGCCACGCGAGGTGCGGCCATCTGGAGACCCGTTCCACAGCCACAGCCGACATCCAGAACAGTCTCTCCTGGCCTAAGTTTGCGAAGCGGAAAAGATGCCTGCAATAAAGGTGCTGCACATGTACATGCATCGGTGATAACACATGCGGATGCTCACTTAGGGATGGGCGCACACCGATCCATTGGCTTCCCGAAGCAAAAAAGCTTCGTATGGGTGATAAGGGTCATGAAATAAAGTCAAAAATTTACGAAATAAATTGTCTTATAAACCCCAAAGAACTTACATCTTTCGTATTATGCTTACTGGGATGCCCATTTCCATATATATATATATATATATATA